AGGAAACAAGGTTAGAAAAAAAGAAGAAGAAAAGAATCTATATGCAGATATGAATTGAAGAAAGAGTATAGGAGAAAATATGTTATATATTTCAAGATTGGACTGTCCTTGAGGCTGCCGTTGCCGCCCAAAACAAAATTTGAAGCAAATATGACACACTTTTGGGTCTGGGATAGTAGAAATCAATAAATTAGTGGGGTAGGTGACTGTTCCATCTTTTGTATTCTAGACAAAACCAAAATCCAATCTGGGAAATTGACAATAAGAATATTCCAAAACATTTTTTCAGTGCCTTAGCTTTTAGCCTCTCAATGGAAGAATTTTCTTAAGCCCTGCAATGCATATTGCAACCAATTCTATTCATTGCCAAATTGGCCACGTATTGAGTCCATTTGCCTCGTAGGTTCAAGGTTTCAATTTGTGCGAGAGAAAACATCATAGTAAAATGATTTGAATTGTGGTTAAATCTATAAAAAGAAGGAGATCTTAGCTTGTAGACGTACTCTTTACTAATGCTGAAATTCAATTTCTAAATCTATTTCAAGAAGTATAGCTCAAGTGTTTTATTTGACAAATGATACCATTTTCTATATATCATAACTGACTGAACAAAAAGTGAGAAATTAGGCGGGTGGGGGCAATATTTGAGTTCAGAGCTCCCACTTTGAGCATGAATGGTGATTAATGGGAGTCACTATCCTGTTATAAGATGGGCAAATCATGCAATGCTAAGAGATTCTGGTAGATGTCAATTACGTTGCATTGTCACTTATCAACTTTGAAGTAACAATTTTATATCAATTTGAAATTTTTATGGTTGGAACCTAAAGGATGATAGTACACCCCTTAATCGTACTTTGATGTTTAGTTTTGAAAGAGCTCATGGCCATCCCATATTGTACCTCTCTGTCCATACCTTTTATACGGGACCATAAAATTTAATCTTGAGGAGTTCACAATAGTAGTTTGAGCTATATATGTCGCATTAAATTTCTGTACTAGGAGTAACAGTACCTGTGTTATATATATATATATATATATGTGTGTGTGTGTATATATACACGCGCGTGTGTATAGCCTTCTCTTACCTCAATTAATAGAACTATCACATTAATGTTCCAATTGAATAGAAGTAGTACTAGTGGGATTTATGAGCGAAAGAAAGAAAAACTCTTGAAGGAAAGATTGACATTTAACTTTTGCTATACCGAAGGTAATAAAAAAGCCAATTTGATTATTCTATCAATGATAAATTTATCTAATAACTTATCAATTTAAGTACTGTAATGTCAATGGTTTGTATACTATGTAGTGCACTACTTGCAGCTATCTACCTAAATTCTTCCTTACTGAATCATCCTTTTTATTTTTCCCCCAAGTATTTCTCTAATAAATTCAAGAAGCTTTTGAGCTTCCAAATGACCTATTCTATTATTGACTTACCGAAGGCTTGCCAGTATATTACTCCTGTTCATGCTGCAGAGAGATAGCTATGACCAATTCAATCTTTAATTTTTTTTTTTTCCTGTCCATACAAACAGCCAAATATGACATAACATTCTAACTACAACCCTATATATATATATGAGCAAATTTCATAGTAGCACCTTATGTTTTAACATAATCATCTTTTAATATCAGCAAAAAATTATTAAAAAACAATTATACTAAAACGCGTGTATCAATATGAAATTTTCTATATATATATGTGTGCGCGTGCATAACCACTTCAATTATTTGAAAATATCATCAGAAAGTGCGACATCCATGAACAGACTCATAGCAGCTAGTGAGTAGTACTACTATGGAGTGGAGTCAGCAGCACATCCAACATGCCCGGACAAAATTAACATATGGTTCTGGGAATTTAAGTACGTAATCTAGCTAAAACAAGGACAAAAACACATTAAAAAACCGAAGTTGGCCCCATCCACAGTGCTGTAATGGAAAGTTGAACAGTGGGGTCATTAGGAAATGATGAAAAATTGAACATTACTTGAGAATAAGAATTTTTGAGTGACTGAAAAAAGTTGGATATGGACCCCACTTTGCAGGGCACACTCTCACATTCTTTCTGCATTTAACTGTTATCTTACAGCCCCTAGTGTTTGACTTCACAGTCCTCACCTTAATTCCCACTTTTTATATTTTTGCTCTTTCAGCTTATAGTTATTTATTTATTTTATTTTATTTTCTTCTCCCTTAGTTTCATTTTTCACATGATAACACTTTCTGCTTAAGTGGAGAACAGCATTATTAGGGTTTGAAGGTGAGTGAAATGAGCATGTGAGACCTCCCTCTTAAGTCAAGATTTAGACTCATTAAATAAATCTCTATAATATCAGTAGTTCCAAGTGCCATTATAAGGGGAGTGATGAACACGCGCCAATCTTGCACCAATTTTGGTTTCTATTCAATTGGGATTTGGTGTTTTGGGGATAAGAAAAGAAAGGCACTTTTTCTGAGGGTAAGTACCGATAGTAGCAATAGTTGCCCATATACATTTCTCATATTGGTTGAAACACAGATACTGAAATCAGCTTCTAAATTAGTATGATCTATATGGTGATCCATTTATGGTTCTAAATGCTTTGTTATTCAATATCATCATATTTTTGATGAATTTTTTTTTATGCCATTTGTTGTAGTATTTGGGAGAAGGAAAAGCAGGGAAACAAATCCCTTCTTTTACCCAGTTTCCTTTTCCCTTCACCTCAGTAAATGTGTTAACCAAGACATGATTGATTTTTTATTATATTTTATTCTATCATTTTGAGATAAACATGTTAAGATGATTTTGGAAAAGCTAAAATATAGAAGGAAGAAAAACAATGAATTTTTTTTTTTTTTAATTTTTTTTTTTTTTTTTTTTTTTTTTTTGGGGGTTGATAATGAACTTCTCCTAGCTAGGTACGGTGTCAGTTGATTATAAGATGGAGCAAATTTTTGTCTTTATAATGAAAGTATAAAACAGAATAAATATAAAAATAACATATGGATGAAGCTTTTTGTGATTTAGAAAGTTAAACAAGACAATTAAGAGGGATCCATGTGATCAATGAACTGTTACGTGCAATAATCACAAATTTGAAAGACGTTGGTAAAGTTTTTGTGACTTAGTGAAATTTTATTAGCTAAGATAACTAGGTGCATTACTACAGAAAAGGGCCCATTAGTATCATTACATGCCATGTTCTATCATTTGGTGTTTGTTAAAAGAGAGAGATGCTTTAAGCTTAAGATAGATTGAGGGCTAACACCACCCACCACTTATTGTGAGAGTATGTGAAAGAGTGAGAGAATTGACAGCAAAGGATTTAGACCTTCTAAAGCATGGGGATAATAAAAAGGTAGAGAGGGTATTGGGAAATTGCCCAAATTAAGCCTTAATATAACCTAATTGACATTAGAAAGAGTTTTATTTCATAAAGATCATAAAAGAATCATCTTTCCTTATGTTAGTAATTTTAGTTGGATCATGCATGAGTAAGAATTTTGTATATCGTTCGGCTTGCTCAGATAAGGGTCACAATTAAAATTAAAGAATGCTATATAATTTTAGCACTTTTAAAAAAATAATAAAAAAAAACTTAAGATATAAAAAAATGAAGGTTATAAAGTGGGATTCCGAATGTAACGAATTTTTTTGGTCTTTATTTTCTAAAGGGTATTAGGGTACTGAAGATTACTCTTGAGGAAAAAAATACATGATAGTCTTTTTGTACCTTTCCTTTTGTAAGAATTGAAGCTATTTTCTCTTCATCCCTCAACACACTGAGTTTGATAAAAGAGATGAAGAAAATTGTCGATTGATGCTTTTCATATAAACTTCTTTCAAGCTCTTTTTAGTGACAGAAATGCATAATGCTTCTTCAAATTGACCACAGTTTTCAGAAGTCCTTGTCATCTTTGCAGAAATTTGTTGGAACGAGGATAAAGTTGCCAAATTAAATGAATCATACATTAATATCACGAGTAACTTTGTTCCTTAAGGTGGAGGCGGACACGAAATAGCCATGAAAAACTCATTTTTTCCCTTTTTTTTTTGGGTTAAGGTAGACAATCTCCACCAAATTTACAAACCAATTGATCTTTGGAGTTTAAGTTGATCAATGGACTTTGGACATATATTTAATTGAGACAGGAATTAATTTTTAATTTTCTTAAAAAGAAGAAATTACATCTGTATATACCAATATTTGTGGATAACTTGCACTCAAAAATAAAATTAATGCCACTAATTTCATATTTATTTATTTAAGAATTTGGTATTGCAGTGCCATATACTTTCCCGCAACTTGAAGCAAAAGACTTCATACCATGAAAAGCGACAAGAAATTCAACATATATTAAGGAAAACTCAAAAACTAACATCATTTCGTTTTAGAAGATGGAAGTTCACTTTATATTATGTGCTTGTTGGACATTTGTCCAAACCTTAGTCTACATCTTAATCATAATTTTCGTTTTCTCCCTTTTCCCCTCCCCTTTGCAAAGGTTTCAAAGGTTATAATTACTATTGTTGGTCATTTTTGGTGACAATGGAGGACAACCCATACACCCGTGGGTGTCCTATGAATCATCACCTTTGCCCTTTTTGGTCCTTTATTTCAACTACTCTTGGCTAAGCTTGTAATATTTTTGATGTTATACAAACAGTAATGTAATATTGTATTATGCTAGTTAAAACGTTCATATTCCTTGTATCAGAATTATCATTGCACGATGAAATACAAGTTGTTTTCGAGTCTGGAGAAAGATCAGAATTTAAGATAATGTCATTCACAAATCACCAACGACTATAGGAAACCACTAGAGAGATAGAAATATCACCCCAAAAAAAAAAAAAAAATTATTGAAGAGAAGGAAACTAACAACTCAATATGTATTAAATTTAATCATTTTAAATTACAATCTCAAGTATTTATAAAAATCTAAAACTAATAAGATGAAGATAAACGTATCTTAAATTCAAAATTAAGTACTAAAATTAAAAGATGTTTATACAACTCAAATTTCTAATATTCTAATCTTGTACCATCACTGGTCTCTATAATTCCCTCATTTTCACATGTAAAACAAATATATAAAGTTATGGAAGAAAATATCCTGATTATTGACTTTTTCTTGTGCGAATCGTTCCCTTCTTTCTCCATCTGTTGGTTTTCAGTAGCTGGAAAGAAATCGGTTACAATAGTAAGAGCTTTTATATGTATAGTTAAATGAAAGTCATGACTAAAGCCTTTGAATCTCATATCCGAGTTAACACTTTTTCAATATCCACGAATTATATGTTAAAAGAAAATCAAAACTCCCTTGAAGATTAGAATCTCCAAGCAAGAATAACCAACAATCTTTCTAAGATCAGAATCTAGTTCCCAGCATACTAAAAGCCCGTTCGTTTGGTATATGGATTCAAACTAAAGTTCTTGATTATAACTTTTGAAATTTAAATTTTTGATGAGAGAAAAATGCTGCAATAGAACTAAAATCATGGGTTTGCACTGGAGCAGAACCCATATACCAAACATCACCTAAATGATTTTGAAAGTAATTTTTGTCAGGTATAGTTCTCTGTAACTCTGTCAGCCTTCTGCAAAGATCAATAACGCAATCGTTGCATTGCCTGTCCCTCATTCCAAATACTTTAATATTGCAAACATTCAAATATTTGTCTGGAGAGTTGTGAATGTCTCCCTCTTGTTTTACTGCATGGAGATGCAACTAGACAAACAGGTATTCAACAGTATACGAAAAAAGAGACATCATATCACCTTGATTGATAACTGGAGGCAGAGTATAGATCAGTCAGAGTGGTCGCGGAAGCGGATAATTTTGTTGATGAAAGGTCTCTCATGGCGATATCTGTTGAGGAAATAGAAAATTCAATAAAAATATCGGCATAACCAGAACAGAATGTATTGCGACACGTTTAGTATGAAGGGGTGTAGAAAGATACATGACAAATGCCGACATGCAGAAGCAAGCTAACCCAACTGAAAAGTGAACAGCAAAAGTCGGCCAGAAGTTTTGCCTGTCCAGAAATATTCTCTCGGATATGGAAGTAGTTATGCCAGAAAACAATAGAACAGTCCATCCGGATGGCATACATTTGTAGAAAGAAAATGCTCGAGAATCCTGTCAGCAGGGAAAAAGGGGAAAAAGAAGCATAAGTTGGCATCAATAGCAAAACTAGCAAGATTCAACTAATCAATGTTATTCAATGGTGTACCCGGAAAAATCGCTTAATGAATAGACCGGAGTACAAAATCCTCAGAATCATATCTTCAGAAAGTCAAGAAACCACAGACCAATAATAGAGTTCTAACATCAGGAGAAAGATAAAACAAAATGCCAGTGACCTATAAGTTTCCAGGGAAAGGGGAAAAAAATTTATGATGCCATAATGCCATTCAGATAGGACAAGCACCCCATATGGTATAAACTAAAATGTTCAAGTTAATGAAAGAAGCTAATTTCATAAAGTGGAAGAAGGGAAAAAAGCTTCAAGGATACTTAATGAATTTGCCACAATCAAGCCAACTGCACCAGCTGACCGTATTAGCGTGATGTTCATTACTAAATATATAAGCGAGAATACAAATAGTGAATCATTTGAGCGTTTGATTTGGTTCTCATCTGCAACTGCATGAAGAAATGCTTCAGAAGTCCCTGATGCAAAACGATAACAATATAATCTCAGTTTTGGAACAATATTGTTAAGACACATCACGAGACCCTTGATTGCCTAAAAGTAATATCATGACTAACCGTTCATAGCCAAAACAATGATATATAGGCAATAATACTGAAGGGCTTTAGATGCCTCTCCATCACTCCATTTCTGACCGTACAACAATCTGATGAGAGAATAAGAATAACCGGGGCCAAATGCCATAAATACAAGACCTACAACAGAAACACCAAAAGATTAAAAGTACAATCTCAATTATCCTGGGAAGAATAAGTATCACTTTGCGACTTCATTCGGAATCCGAGTTGTCCCAGGTCCAGCTCGAGGTCAGCAAGTATAATGACTACCATTGCAATAATAACTCAACAATTGGAGAGCTGAAAAAATGAGAGTATTATATATTAAAAGAACAGAAAAAAGTCAGAATTCATACCTATTAACAAAACCAGCTTCAGGGCCTCAGTAAGACAAGTTCCTAACTTCCTCTTCTTATCTAGGTGGTTTTCTGCCATAACAAAGAAAAGGGAAAAAAAACAGGTTAAGGTTTGAAAGAATGAGACCTCTGTTGTAATAGGACCATGACCGAACAACAAAGATGTAATGAAGTGCAAGACAAAAAGGCAAAGTTGATAAAACTTAACAGAGGAGAGGAATAAACCTGACGCACACCTTGCAAATGCAGCAAAGGAACTTTCTTCAAAAGGAAGAAACACCATCCTCACCACTAAGCTCCCTGAAATTTGTGAAACAGGAGAGTACTAATTGCAAACTCACTGATAAAATGACAGCAGATCAAAATGGATTATATCCATTTCATGAAAATATAAATTATGATAGATAAGTATACCATATGTACTATTACTTTCGAAAGGTGTGTGGATGGAGTACTTACCTAATTTTTCTACTAGTCCATATACGGCTTGGTTGTAAGGTGTATCAAACCATACTAGAACCATCTTTTCTCCTTCTTGAAGGATCAACTTTCGAAATGATTGAAGAGTAAATAAAAAACACATATTTGACAACTGCCCATCAAAATCCTTCTTACTTACTAGTCTGCAAGAGTAACTTGTCATTTATTGCGGAACTTAGATAACAAAAGTAAAAAGAGGAAACCACTCATCACATGCCAATATGGGCTATGTGCGGAGAAACTCATTACTAATGGTATTGCCACCTAATCTTATCATACAATGCAAGTAACAGCAACGTAGTCCCTAAGCAACCATGAAAAAGTTTAAACTTGTTTACAGAGAAACAAGAAAGGTACATGTATCAAGCCTGCACTCATGCTTTGTCTAGGCTGTATTAGGTCAGATGGAACTTCATCCAAAAGAATCGGCAGGGATTGTGTGTGTGTAAGTGTGTACAATGGTTCACAACTCAACAAAATTATATACCTCAAAGGGAAAAGGGTAGAACTTCCAAATGGGCGTAAAAGAAGAAAGTAGCCCCAATAGCCTAAGAACAAGCACGCTCCATAAGTGGTCTGCGACAACGCAAATATAATCCCCTTGTCCTGCAACCATATAATTGATATTGAGAATCTGAATAACAGTCACATCCAACACATCCAGCTTATCAAAACTCGTGACAAGAAAATATAAACCAAAATAACAAACAATTGATTATTAAGAATTGCAAAGAATAGCGCCAAAATCAATGAACATAACAGAGTAGCCAAGCAATTCCAAAGAAGGGAAACAATCAATACGATACTGTTTGAGATCATTTGGTATCAAGATTGATAGTAGAATCTTACACAAATCCTTACCATATTCATCTGCTTGATGATGAAAATATACATAGTCACACAACGCAGTAGAGTAGCTACTGTTTCAACCACTAGCCGCAGTCTAAGTAGAAGCAAATTCTGAGAAAGGATATATAAAGGTTCTGCCAATAGCTCCAAAATGCATGCACATCCTGCCACACGTACCATGGAGAAGTTGTCACTACATAAATACAACTAAAATATTGATACTAAAAAGTAGTCTTAAGCTAGATAATTCATAGAGAGAAAGCACAATAGCCAACAACATCAATATGGTATTGTGAAAGTACAAAATGTGATTTAGCAGATTACCGTTAATCAAGATAGCTTGCCCATATGGATTAGAATAACATAAGTCTTGCCACCAAAAGACAAAAAAACATCCTGCAATTGTAAGTAGCAATCCTAGTGGTAAAGTTAACCATGCTACTTTCATTAGCTTTGCTACGTTTTCTTCCATTGAAATGCCTTCACTGCAGCATAATTTGTAAGAGCTCAAGAGTCAAATTCACACATATAATACTCAAAGTTCCCCAGTGCAAATGAACTAAAGGTATTCTAACTAGTTGAAGGTATATCTCCTCATACGTTTCCAGAAATTGAAATTTTAAACAAGTGAACATTTTGCCAGTAAGGTTAGCCAGATTTTTCTCGAAACTCATAAAACTTTGAATGAAGCAACATTATAAGAGTGATACAATAGAAACCAAATACAGCAGTTTGAAACCTGCAGTTCCAATATATGAGACGGATTAGGGAACTAGAACACTGGAAACTACTTCCCCATCAAAGCTCACGGATACTGCAAATGACTAGAGACTTATTGAAGCAAGTCCAAGCAATGAAGCATATAGTATACAACTTAAACATATGGGAAAATAGCAAGTAAATCACCATTTTATGTCTGCACGCAAGCATGCTCGCCGGAATCCCTCCCGACTGAGAAACAAGACACAGGTGACAAAAAGATGAAATTGCACCGCATAAAGCTGCATCACAGAAAGGAAATGCAAAAGAACATTTTAGTTAAGATAAAAAAGATCAAGAGATGATAATTAAATGTTCAGACATAGTTACCGCATAATCCTCTTGAGTAAGGTGCCTCACTATCCATGAGTTGAATACAAATGGAATTCCCCTTGACAAGACCTGCGTAGCTGACATTTGACAAAAATTACCCAAATTATTGTTAATTTGGGTAACAAAAATTCATAAAGAGGGACACAAATCGAAATTGAAAAAAGCCATTAACAAAAATTCAAAAAGAAGGACACAAAATTACCCAAATTATTTCATTCAGGTCACTATAGTCAACAGTAGGGCTGATTTAATTAATTCTTTTTTCTTTTTAATTCAATTTTCGCTTCAAACCCAAAAAGTTGGAAATAAATTAAGAAAAAACCTATTCCATTATCTTGTTATTGTTGATTTTAATGCATAACTCAAGCTCAAAACTTATCCGGCTATTGTAGTTTGATTTGCAATATTCTATAATATGGTTGGTTTCATCAAATATTGTTCAATTTTCGCTTCGAACCAAAAAGTTGCGGCCCCGAGCCCAAAATTCTTCAACAATTCCGTTTTGCGCCGATGTTCTCACTCGGCAGTTAGGAATGCTAAACTTTTATTAGGAAAACTTTCTTTTTCTATCCTACGATTTCTTGGCAACCAAACGAATGAAATAGTGGAGAGAGAGAGAGAAACTGACCCAATAAATACTTAAAAGTGTGAGAAAGACTGGTGGCTTCTCTTTCTCTGCCAGATTGCGACGGCGAAGACGAAGCCTTTGACATTTGGAGCTGATCTTAGTTTTAGCAATCTTGATTCTCTAGCAAATTCTACTGACAATCGGCGCCATGGAAACAGAGAAAACCCAGAAAAGATTGGTGATTTCGGTTTGTTTTAACGATCTGTGATAAGAATAATTGATATATTTAAATTTAAATATTATGGGTCCGTTTAGTTCGCTGATTCGAGTTTTTAATTCGAGTTAAGATGTGATGTTATGTGAGAGCTTTTTATTGTAGTAAAAAAATTAGATGTGACTGTTTCTGAGAGCTTTTTACTGTAACAAAACTCGAATTCTAAACTCGAATCGGCGAAGTGAACGGGGCCTATATTATTTGATTTAGCTTATTATTAGTTAAATATTAGATTAGAATGGATTAGTATTTATATTAGATTAGATTAGATTAGATAAGTATTTATTTATTTTATTACTTATTATTTTAGTTTTTCCTAGGGCTGTTCATAAACCCGAACAACCCGCAAACCCAACCCACCCCGCCCTAACCCAAGCTGAAAAAAACAATCCGCAGCATTATTTTTAAATTTTCGGCGTATTATACCTCTAACCCGAAGTGTTTGGGGCGGATTGCGGGTTGGGCCCATAACAACCCACAATCCTCAACCCAACCCGCACAACATACCCCCAAGCTTTCGGCCCAAGCCGAACTGCCCAAGTCTACCTTAGGCTCGCTAACATTAGGGTTCACAATCTCATTCTCGGTCCCCCCTCCCGTGAACCCTCTCTTCTTGCCTCTTCATTTTCAGTTTTCCCTCTTCTTCTTCTCCCGTGAACCCCCTCATAACTCTCTCCTCATTGCTCAGTTCTCTCGGCCGCCGTCTTGCCCACTTTCTCCGGTGCTCTCTCGCCGGACTGATAAGGATGATTGTTATTTCTATTTAATGATGAAGTTTGAATATTATATTGAACTTTAAGTCTTTGATTTTTTGAATGTTGAAACCGACCACCCAATCCACCCCGCACCGCCCCAACTCAACCCGAACATCGTTGGGTTGTGAAATTTTTCTAACATCGTTGGGGCCAAATATGTGCAACCCACACCCTTTGGGGCGGGGAAAAAAAAGTCCTACCCCGCACCAACCCAACCCATGAACAGCCCTAGTTTTTCCTAGATACTAGAGATTAGAGTAGTATTCCTCTATTTCTTCTTTGCAAAAATAACATGATTTTCCTATAACAACAATTATAAAATAAAAAATAAAAAAAATCGCTAAAAAAAAACATAAAAGAAAATTCCTAAAACGACATCTTATTCTAAAGATCACATACCAAAACGACACATCAGGAAAAGACTACTGAGTAAACGACGTCATACCAAAAAAGGACATTGTTAGTAGAACATCATCTCCAGAAGAGTATAAATGCTTATGTCAGCATCCTGAAAGTTGAAACGACAACATATATTGTAGACGACATAAAAAACCAAAAATGGGGAAACAACATCCATCTTCACGAACTAGCAAAACGGCAGTAAACTCATTTAAAAACAAATGACATCATCTTCAATAAACAACAAAATATTTAAAATTTAAAAGGCTTTAAATGTTTTTAACACAAAAATTTATTCTAAAAAAAATATAACTCATATAGTCATTATTAGTATGCCGTGACCGGATAATATAATGGTGCTCCCAGCGGCGGAGCTGCCTTGGGCCCAGGGGGCAGCTGCCCCTAGGCCCAAGGGCTCCTCTTAGAATTTGACCCAATCTTAACATTTTCGACATTTTCCCTTTTATTTGACCTCCCTCAAGTTTTCTAATAATCATCTTTGCACATTTTTTTAAAACAAATTTCAATTATAGCTTTCATTTTGACTCTTCAATGTAGTATTATTCAAACTTAATATCTCAAATAAACCAAAAAATAACTATACTACGACAAACGTTCATAAGAATCTAAGCTTTAAACATTAAATATAACTATATTACAAGTTTAATTTAAACAAAATTACAAATAGATAAATTAAGGTAAAAATATTATTTTCTTATAATTTTTGTTAAAAATTTTGGATTAGTTCACGCCCCTCTAAAAAAATTTCCTCCGCCACTGGGTGCTCCTCATATTCTTTGCTTTATCAAATTAATTTGATATAATCTTTTAATATCATTAAAATATAGAATAAAAACATAAAAAAATCCTAAAATGTTTAAAGGTTTTAAATATTTAACACTTAAAAGTTGAATTTTTAATCAATAAACTGATTACGAAATTGGAAGAAGTCAAGGACTCAACGATTATGTCCTGGACTCGACGACATTTTTGTCATATAATAGGATAATTAAGGATGAATTTCAAATTCTTCCATAATTATGTACTTTAATTTAAGGTGCCACTTTAATTTTAATTATGGTTTATTGTTCTAATAAAATGATGATGTAACACAATTTAGTGCATGTTTGGTTGGTGGATTGAGAGATTCAAATCATGTGATTAAGGTTGAATTTGTGTTTGGAAGTCCAAAATGGGTTAGAATCAGAATGGGTGATTGAGATCATTTGGGCTCCTGATTGAGATCATTTTGGAATCAGGCCCCCCCTCCTGATTTTACCGTTTGAAACCCAAGTGCACAGTAAAAACACTGTGCGGAGTAATGCATCCCGCCCACCTTTCTGAAATCACATTTCTTCTTCTCCCGTGCCTAGGTAGAGAATCTGCAGGCCTTTCCTCTCGCGTGCTCAGCCTTTTTTTGGGAACTCTCTTCCTCTTCTCCCACTTTACTCTTCTCGCCGTCTGCTCTTCTTTACAAGTGCCAAATCGGTCGGCGTTGATGAGAAGTGGCCGGAGTAAAGGGGTTTTTGTCAAGAATGAGAGAAAACTCCACATTCGGTACCAATTTCACCGATTCTACGGAAGTCAGTTAATTTCTCGTCTTCACCGGAGAGAGGACAGAAGGTCTTTGCGGAGTCCGAAAAAACCATCCTCTGCACTTGGAATGCTGCCTGCGTTGTCCTTCATCTCGTCGTCGAACTCGAACTCTGTAACGATATGCTCTCCTGACTTATGCAATTTTTCGTTTTACCGTTCGAATGAGTTTTTGTGATTTTGGTTTTTGGAGACAACCTTAGTGTTTATTTGGTTGTGACTTTGATTTGTGGAGACGGGATAGTGTTTGGTTTGATTGTGACTTTGGTTTCTGGAGATAGTGTTCGACTTGGTTGTGATTTTTGCTTCAATTTTTTGGTAAAGTTTGTTCTTCAATTTGACCTAATTTTTTTGTGCTTGAGTATGTGAAATTTGATAATTTCTGCTTGACTATGTTGGCGGCAAACTGGAATGCTTGAAATGCTTGGTTTCTGCTTGGAATGCTTGAGTATGTGAAATGGTTGTGATAATTTCTGCTTGATTTCTGGAGATAGTGTTAGACTTGGCATATAATATCTTGTGATTGGAATGCTTGAAATGCATTAGAATTGTTTGTTTCCACACTGCGAATGTGTGTATTTTCCCCATTGCCTATACTTGTACACTCTGAAGCTTCTAGGGTGCAGGTGAGGCAAAAAATATCCATTCGGATCTCCTCATGGTCAGGGCTTGGTCTTCTAAACTCTAATGCACACGATTAAGTGACAAGTTATATATTGCATTATATATTGTTGCATTATTTTTATGTATCCTCAAATTGTCAGTTTATGCTCAATCTGTACAATCCAAAGACAAAAGGAATCATTTGCTTGAAATGAGTGGTTGTTGGACAGCATTCTCACGTAGTGGGTGTAGATAAACCACCACATTATTAGGAAAATTTTCTTGAAACCATAACATAACATTCAATTTCCAGCAAAAGGTAAAGTACAATACATATTCCAAACAGGAGATATTGTTATGTAATTGATTATTTTGTACTCTGCATTGATTCGTAGTCATTTTTGTCATTGTGGGTTGAATGCGTTTTTGCATGTGTTGTCATGCTCTTGGTCATGATATGGGAAATTTGTCATTGTGGGAAATTTGTGGGTTGAATCCGGATTTTTCTATTTTGTTTTCAAACGTTTAGGAGGATACTTTCCTTTTCCTTATTTTTAGGGAATTCATACATTCTTAAGTTACGTAAATTGTTTATATAAGTGTGTATTGGTTGCCGCCTAATTATAATGAGAAAAAATAAGTGGATTCTTCCTCAAAATCTTAAGCGTGTGTAGATGCCAAGGAAAACTAGAGATGAGAGACCACTTTTTTGGAGCCCTGCTGCATAGGCTTTTCTGCTAGACAGACTGTACGAATACCACGACAATAACCACGATCGCCAACCAGAATCTCGTCACTATAACCAATGGGCCTCAGAAATGGCCACCTTTTTTTATGGTTATGTTCCCGATGGTGAACGTCTTAGGGAGAAATGCCGCTGACTGGGTAAGCTATACGCCACGTACAAAATGTTACAAAATCATACACGAGTAGGTTGGGATCCTATCACTACAACTTTTACTTGCTCGGAAGAGCTACAGAAAGATCTTTGTAAGGTAACATATGAGATTCATTATACTCACAAAAACCATCCTCATATTTGAACAGCCACAAATTTACCTATCTACTAAGAGGTTACTAACCAGTTCTCTAATTTCTTTATACAGAAACCGCGATGCGAAAACATTGTTTACTAGTGGTTGGAAGTTGAACGAGGTGTACTTGGCTGCCATTTTCCCAAGTAGAGTTGGAGCTTCTGGTTTAGGTGCATATCACCCAAATGCAGGAGACGAGGCACCGGATGATGCACCCGTTGAAGATCTTACTGCTGCTGATGAACAACAACCGGCTAACCAAGATGCTCCATACCAGAATATCGATGATGAAGATGTTCGTAATGATCTTGCTGAACAAGTCGATCGTTATGGACAGCGAAATGTCACAAATATTGTCTCATCGTCACGTATGATTCGGAAAAAACGGTCCACAACAAGGAAATCTAACGATTCTTCGCGAGACATGCTACTCTCTCTAGTAAAGGAAATGAAAGATGATTTGAAAGAAGAGCTTCATACAACCAAAGAAAGCCAGCCAAGTTACAACACCGTAAATGGCCCTAGTGAAGCTGACATCATCTTAAATTCACTTGCGGAAATAGGAATTGATAAGCATACGC